TTGTTGAACTATGAATTGCTTGAGGTTCATCTGTTTTGGCTCTGTTCACAATTTTAAAAGTTTGTTGTTAGCATGTTGCTAAGCTAACACTGTGATACTCGAATGAGCATAAAAAGTACATGCTACTCAAAAACACCAGGTAAAATTGTCTATTGAACTATAATTTGTCTGTGGTTGGGTCTACTTTGGCTTTGTTTACAATAAATTTAATTAGTTAGCATGTTGCAAGATAGCAGTGTGATACTCAAATAAGCATAGAAATGACATAATCCCATAATACTAGTTAAAATAGGTTTTAGAGGGGGTTTGACCACTTCAGACTGGGACACCAATTTGACCAGCTTAAACCATGCCCATCTTAACAATGTGATACTTGAATAAACATAAACGGTATTTACTCATAAACACCAGGTAATATAGTCTGTCGAACTATTATTTGTCTGTGGATGGGTCTATTTTGGCTCAGTTTACAGTAAATGTTATTAGAGTTTGTTGTTAGCATGTTGTTAAGATAATAATGTGATACTCGAATAATCATAAAGCAATAAGCCCCAAGAAGCCGTGGTTTACAGTGAATTTATAACAACTAAGGGGTGTTGTTAGGCACGAGAGTGCCTAAAACCCCCTTAGCTGTTATAAATTCGCTGTAAACCACGGCTTCACGGGGCTTATTGCTTTTATAAAACGGTTATTACATATACGTAGTAAGGTTTCACAAAATAAAACAGAGCAAATAAAGTGTAATGATATTAATAAAAACATTATTCTTCCACCAAACAATGTAGTTCCTCAGAAACAGTTGTGGTTCCAACAAAGTGGTTGCCAAGCAAGTACAGAAGTAAACAAAGGTGTATGTTTGTAGAGTAATTTACAACAGCTTCGAACGCGGCTCAACCAATCAGAATCAAGGACCGGAACTATCCGTTTTATACAAAATTACATATTACTTACTAAACAAACATACCAATTAAAATAGTCTATTGATTTTTTTTTTTTTAACTCAATCATGTTGCAAAAACCTCTGACTCAGAACTAATGAACTCCTTAAGAAGTAACGTTTTTTCAGTGTGCTCTGCATTCGGAGCAAGCCTATGATGACGTATAATTCTGCCAACAACCATTGTGTGAGATTAATAGGACATGTGTTGTCTTGTTCCATCTTTAAGGGTTTTTATTTTGAAGGCGTCCTCTGTGCTGTCTTCTCGATAAATGATAAATACATCTTCACTGGATCCCTGGACAAAACCATCAAAGTCTGGGATGTCTGTAGTGGTGAGGACTGTTCTCTGTTGTGCATGACACCTACTTGTTAATCATTCTGTGGAAGATTTACTAATAATTTGCTAATAATGTCTTTCATGTCTGATTTAGTTGCTTGGCTTTGGTCGTTTCATTACAGGTTGTTTGCTGTACGTCCAGTTCGTCTACTCTCCAGTCATAAAGATGATGCCACACAAGGATGGATTTGTAGCCGTGTCCCAGCATGGCTCTTTCATCAAGGAAGGTTTCTGCTGTCCAGACACCCTTAAACCTGGATACAACCCCCTCCGGATCTTCAGAGCACATTACCGAGTTACCTCTCGGGAGAAAAGCCTGAACGCTCCGCACACCGTCATCAACGAGCTTCCAGATTACAACCCTGCTCAGTTCAATTTCATCGGCATCGGTTTGATGAAAAGCAAACCATCAAACACGTGTGTTCTCCTCTAAATACGTTCTAGGTTCCAAACCTCTTACCCCACCTGCGTACAGAATTAGGCTATGCACTAGGAAATCATCTGTGTAATTACATAATAATAACTGAGGAAGTATATAAAAAATATATATTTTTAAGAATAATCAAACAATTTGCTATTTATTCATTTTATATTTAATCAACATCGCAAGTGTTAAAAGTAAAGCAGTGTGTAAGACAGCATGTTCCAAAATATATGTTATTAACATTACAGATAATAAGGCACTGGAAAAATATAGTTTTTATGTTAGTGTAATTTACACGAACGCGGCTCAACCAATCAGAATCAAGGACCGGAACTATCCGTTTTATACAAAATTACATATTACTTACTAAACAAACATACCAATTAAAATAGTCTATTGATTTTTTTTTTTTTAACTCAATCATGTTGCAAAAACCTCTGACTCAGAACTAATGAACTCCTTAAGAAGTAACGTTTTTTCAGTGTGCTCTGCATTCGGAGCAAGCCTATGATGACGTATAATTCTGCCAACAACCATTGTGTGAGATTAATAGGACATGTGTTGTCTTGTTCCATCTTTAAGGGTTTTTATTTTGAAGGCGTCCTCTGTGCTGTCTTCTCGATAAATGATAAATACATCTTCACTGGATCCCTGGACAAAACCATCAAAGTCTGGGATGTCTGTAGTGGTGAGGACTGTTCTCTGTTGTGCATGACACCTACTTGTTAATCATTCTGTGGAAGATTTACTAATAATTTGCTAATAATGTCTTTCATGTCTGATTTAGTTGCTTGGCTTTGGTCGTTTCATTACAGGTTGTTTGCTGTACGTCCAGTTCGTCTACTCTCCAGTCATAAAGATGATGCCACACAAGGATGGATTTGTAGCCGTGTCCCAGCATGGCTCTTTCATCAAGGAAGGTTTCTGCTGTCCAGACACCCTTAAACCTGGATACAACCCCCTCCGGATCTTCAGAGCACATTACCGAGTTACCTCTCGGGAGAAAAGCCTGAACGCTCCGCACACCGTCATCAACGAGCTTCCAGATTACAACCCTGCTCAGTTCAATTTCATCGGCATCGGTTTGATGAAAAGCAAACCATCAAACACGTGTGTTCTCCTCTAAATACGTTCTAGGTTCCAAACCTCTTACCCCACCTGCGTACAGAATTAGGCTATGCACTAGGAAATCATCTGTGTAATTACATAATAATAACTGAGGAAGTATATAAAAAATATATATTTTTAAGAATAATCAAACAATTTGCTATTTATTCATTTTATATTTAATCAACATCGCAAGTGTTAAAAGTAAAGCAGTGTGTAAGACAGCATGTTCCAAAATATATGTTATTAACATTACAGATAATAAGGCACTGGAAAAATATAGTTTTTATGTTAGTACGGGATTTAATCACAGCTTTTGCCTTAGTAACTCACAGTATAATGAAGAATAACAATCACATTCTTTGCATCTAATTTGTAACATGTTATAACTTGGTATTTCGAGTGCAATGCGTCATTGAGTTCCAAAGCCTGCACGTGGTGAAGGGTGAGCGTATAAAACCAGTCAAGACTTTCTGTTGTAGCAAAGGGTTACGTTTCCTCTTCTTCTGTTGAACGCTTCGGATTTGAAGAGACAAACCATTTATTAGCCTCAATGCAAAGAGATTTACTTTTGTCTGTTTTGCATGTGCATTTAATGCACCTACATACAAGTTATGAGCTATAAGAGATAATGTTTATAAGTGGCTCAATGTGGGTTTTACAGTGGTCTATGTAATTTGGGTGGCTTTAATATGTTTAGTGAATTTGCTATATTCAGGGCAAAACCTGAGTCCATGTTATCCTAAATGTGAGAATGTTTTAAAAAGCATTAATATAAGCATGTAAGACTGACCTTTTGTACCAGTAGGTTTGCATGGTTATTGACTTTTATTTTTAATATTTCTTTATTTTAGTTGTTATTATGCGTTTTATTTTTTCCAAAATCCTAAAGCTGTGTTTATTTCCAGGTTTTTTTTTTTAAATCTAATTTTCAATGGGCCCCAGTGTACTTTTTTGTAGCTTTCATTTCATGACATATCTTGAAGGGAAAAAGCAAGCAACTATATCTATACAATCTATATTTAAAAAAAGTATGTGTTTCTCATATTTTGTGAGAGTTAATATAGTTATTAATAATCAAATATATAATATTTAATATTGATCAATTTTGCTATTCTTACAATATAATAATAAACAACAGTAATATATTTGCCATCTATGTGTTTTACTGAAATGTATTCTCCCTCATACAGACAATCTCTCTCGAATATATTTTGAAAATTATTGATGAGCTATAACTTCCCCATTCAGTCAATTTAAGAAATTAAAGGAACAAATTGCACAATGTCATGTACTATGACCAATGTAAACTTTTATAAATCAATGGAGAGCCCACATCTTAAATTTTAACTGAAAATTGAGTGTTTACTATTGTCATTTTGCATTATTGACACACTATTTTCCTAATTAATGCTGTACAGTTGCTTTGACACAATCAAATCTTAACCAATGATTCCTAATTGCATCTACTTCCGGAAGGCCAAATAAAGTGCTTTTGCTTTCGCACTGAAACACAGCGTCTCCCTGACATGGCTGCATCAACACTACTGCTGTTCCTGAAACCACGCCTTCTTTCTTTGCGTGTACATTTGGGCGGCATTATGCTAATATTTCCACATAGTGAGGTAGGTATGTGGGGGCGTGTTAGAACGAGCCGTTTTAGGTAGGCACGGTTGACTCTTAACTTTTGTAAAGAATATCTCTTTGGATTTGAGACTTTAGTCTTTGCAACTTTACAGATCTTCTTTATGCACCAAGAGCTTGTAACACTCCAAAGAGAAAGGAACATTGAAATCGCATCATATGACCCCTTTAAATTCCAAACAACATACAGTAGGCACGCTAGTCAGAATTGCGAGATTTAAACTCAGAATTGCGAGTTTTTATCTCACAATTATGTGGGGAAAAAAAGTCAGAATTGTGAGGTAAAAAGTCGCAATAACCTTTTTTTTTTTATTTCTTATTTAGTGGCGGAAACACATAAACGTAAGAGATCATCAAATTAAAGTAAACTAGAGTGGCCTAAATGCATTTTCGTTGAATTTAAAGCGACAGAACATTTCCCTCATCTTTTGACTGAAGTAGCAGAAGTAATTGGTCTCGCTGCTGTCAGTCAGTCAGTCCTGATCCTCCCTCAGACGAGACAGTCTGACAGTAAGCGGATTGAGTCTGTTCAGTCGGCGAAACTGTCCGAGACACTACTCTCATGCTAGCATTCATACACCTGTGCTTAACTGCATAACCTTATGCTTTCCTTTTAAGCCACGATGCTTGCCATATTTACAAAGATCAAAGACCGCGTCGAGGCTTTTTTGAACGAGAAGAATATAGTCACTGACTGTCTTAATAAAATCGAAGAAAAAACAGGCATCAAGAAACGTTATTTAGCGCTCGGTAAGTCCTAATTTTATATAAAGCTTTTTTTTTTTTTTTGCAAACAAAAAGTAGCCTACCCTTACTTATGCCGTTATCTGTAATATTAATGTAACAGGTGCTCAAGTCAGTCGAAGCTGCGTTATAGGCTACAGTATTATTGGCATGTGAAATAAATGACATATCATTACTAAAGACAAATGATTTCTCTTCATGAAAAGAACAGAAAAGAGAAATGAAAGAGCTGAAATGCAGGAATGATTTTCTGAATAATGAAGTTCCTCAGAAGGAGATTTGGTCTGATGCCACTCCACCCCGTGACTTCGCCTTCATCCCTCAACATCTACATCTATATTGAATATTAGTGCTAAAGATTACTGCATTCGAGGTTTCATCCAAAAACAGTTACCCATGATTACCACTACACACACTTGCATAACTACACACAATACTGTTCAAAAGTTTGGGGACAGCAATTATTATTATAATTTTTTAAAGAAAATAATAGTTTTACTCAGCAAAAGCGCATGAATTTGTTCAAAAGTGACAGCAAAGACATTTATAATGTTAGATTTCCTTTTCAAATAAATACTATTATGGTATTATATAACTAAATGTTAACAAATTCTATTATATGACTTTCTATTTATCAAATAAATCTGAAAAAGGTATCAATTTCCACAAAAATATTAAGCCGTACAACAATGTTTCTCAAGCAGCAAATCAGCATATTACAATGATTTCTGAAAGATAATGTGACTGAAGACTGGAGTAATGATGCTGAAAATTCAGCTTTGCATCACAGGAATAAATTACGTTTCACAATTTTACAGATTTCACATGTGGTTCTGCAGTTTGTTCAGTTGATTTAGAAGGATATTATGATTTTCTCCTGTCAGGTGCTGCTGGTGTGATTGGAACGTATTTATTATTTGGACACGGCGCTTCTCTGCTCTGTAATCTGATTGGTTTTGTTTATCCTGCATATTACTCGTGAGTTATGTGCTTTTAAGGTTTTTCACAAACCAGCAGTTGCCGTAACCTACACTGAATCTGTATTATAGTGTTTTTTTTTTTGTAAACTAACTAGGGTATACCTAGTGTACCAATACCTAGGTATAGTTTACCTAGTACTTAGTATACCTTAACTAGGGTATCTTTCATATTTTGTTCTGTTTACATTTTTTGTATCAAAGCCATAGAAAGTCCTGATAAGGAGGATGACACACAATGGCTGACATACTGGGTAATCTACGGCTTCTTCAGCGTGGGTGAATTCTTCTCTGACATTTTTCTCCACTGGTTTCCTTTCTACTATGTATGTAAGGTAGGTAGAAAAAGGCCATGCTTTCTCTGACTAATATCTGATTTAAAAGGATCAATTATTACCAGCTTCTTTCTGCTAATTAGCACAAAGATTCTGCTCCATCTAAGAGGAGAGGTTAAATAGATGTTTGGCACGCTGTTTAATTTAGGACAGCTCTACTGTTGGTCTTTAGACATCTGCCAGTTTGTCCATATTAGAGGTCATGGGCATATATTTGGTTTTAGCATTGGTAGTTGTAACATTGTTTAAAAAAATTATATATATATATATATTAGGGGTGTAACGGTACACGTATTCGTACCGAACCGTTTCGGTACGGGTC